GGTCTATATAAACTCTATCACTATTTTGTTTTTACTCTATCCATGTTTTACCTCCTCTTTCAAATGTCTTAAATCATGATGAAATTGTTTAAAAAGGCTTAGGTGAGACAATGCACACGTGACTCTGCTGTTAGTTACTTGGGAACCCTAATTTATTGGCTTCCAGAATCATAACTGTTAATCAGGTAGAATGCATTTGTCGATGAGAAAATTCAAGATATCCTGTGACATCCGATGGCAAATCTTTGTTGATTGATATGTGACTCATTGTAGAAAGTTCCACGAGCTCCAACTAACAGGTTTTTTATTATGGCCGTAAAATATCATTGGAGCGTGTGGAAATATGTGTGAGCAAAGTGAGACAAAGTGCCTATTGTTGAATACCTTGAGTTTACACTGAAAATACAGAAAATAAATTAAGCATATTCCAAGTTTGAAATTCCCCATGAAAACATGTCGTAATTTGGATGAGTGAAGAAGTTCAGTCAAATATTTATAACTCCTCAGACGGTGTGACATAAATCAGAGTGATTATTTTCCCATTGCAGTGGCCGTGACAACATTTAGTTCCTGTAAAAGCATATTAAAACGATCTTTTGTGACTAATATGTCAAATAAATTGAGCTATTGTACTGCAGATAATGTTCTATTGTCTTTCAACAAAGCCGCTCGTTCATTTTTCCTCACTGATGATAATCTAAATATTTACATTAACTGTATGCTGGGGTGATATATATTCTCATAGGGCTGTGGATCCAGTAGATTTACCTTTAATGCTACTGTGCTGGCACAGGGGATACACAGAAGCTCTTGCAAAATGAGCTACAGATGTGGGCCCTCAGCTGTGTGAAATGATAGAAAGGAGGAGGCGAACAGAGGCAATGGACAGAGAAAGACACACAAGGTGGCTTATGAAAAGTGTTGAGATTGCATGTGACTGCTTTCATAGAAACATCAAACCATACTTATGGATCTGGTATTTTTCATTTACACTTCACCCACTGATTGACAACTACCCTTTGCATATGGAAGATTTTAAAAAGATTATGTGTGCCAAGACCTTAGGTTGATTTATTGATGCCAGCAATAGTGTTCATCTGGGAGCCTCACTAAGCGGAATAGAGCCTCAGCGTTTCTGAAGCGAGTTCTCTGTCGAGGTTTCCTTGCGGTTTGTGTGGCAGCAGGAGGCAGACAGAATCGTGAAGATATGAGCTAGGCTCTCAGACAATAATTGCTCTCAGCCGCGTTTTATCATTTTAGTTTCCATGTTCTGTCTGCAAGCTGCTGTGTGGGGAAGGAAGGGGCAAAGGGAAAGGAGTTCCACCAGTCTGAAACCGTATATAAAGACATGCTTGACCTTGCCTCTCCTCATTCTCATCCTGGTTGGTTTCTTCCAAAGAAATTAGTCTTGAACTGAAACCTGGTGAAACAGTCAGCTCTTTGTCTTTGGCTTAATGGCTCTCAAGAGAGAGAATCGGGCAAATGTGCTCAAAAAGACTAAGTCTCCTACAGCCTCTCTTTTTCTGCCTCTGTACTCCCGGTTCAAATTCTTTTTAAGACGTTTTTACCTTCAGGGAAGAAAAAACCAACAAACAAAAAAGCTGTGCGTGTCTCTTCCTTATTTCATATTTACGAGCCATTGTTCAATACTGACCATGTTTTCAAAGCTCTGTAGAGCACACTTTTGCTCTTCACGACACATCCATATGCTTTCAGTGAAGAGTGTCTTTTGATTTATATCGTCTTGTCTCTAGATGATTGTGCTTCTGTTGTTTCCTTCAGAGGTTCACTCTCTTGCTGCTTGTTTGCTGCAAATGCCAAGCTGCACATACTGTACACACATGGACTGAGCACCTCTTCTCATTATGAGAGAGTGAACACACTACATGTTGTCAACAAACATTTTTACGGGCCCACTGACATCGCCTTGCTTTTACATAGCGAAGTTATTGTCAAAGAGGAATTTCCAACTATGTTTATGGACATGTTGAATTTTACTTGCTTCCACTTGAAAGTCAGGTCTTATGCTGACAGAGAGCATCCTGTTTCCCTGCTGTGTGCTTCAGCCTTGGAGTGACAAGAGACAGTCAAGTGCATTTATGTTACAAATGTTTTGGACACAAAGGCCAAACATGTGTTCAACATCTTTATCTTGCTGCTTCACTGGAGTTCATCTAATAAATGCCTCCTGCTCCTGTGTGAATGTTCTGTCCTGCAACCAGCTATGGCATATCCATCCCTATTCATCTGACTACACTAAAGTTGAATGTTTTGTTTCACTGGTTTGCCTTTTGGTTCCTGAAAAAGTGAGAAACTGATTATGTTTCAGGTTCAACTTAACAAAATCACAAGCATTACTGTAGAAATTTAAGTCATCTCTCAGTGTACCTAATTTCTTCTTTTCATTAACCCCCTCAACACCACACACCATACACAGCAGTGGCTGCATTCTTCTGCTATATGCTTGGTCATTTACAGCACTATCTGCTCTAAACGGAACAAGAAAAGGATTTAAAAAGGGCAAATATTAAATTAAACCTCAACGCAGATCAATAAGCACAATTCCAAAACATTTCTGCACAACAGTTTATCAATCCACATGGTCATATCATCCCATCTTTAAGGTTACCTTCAACCAAGTGAGGATTATGGTTCAGTCTTTTTTATCATCATTCTCTCACCTTTACACCCTTTAATACTAAATCTGTACTTATTTTCAGTTTTTCCATCTTTACTGCCCTTCCTTTATCATTGTTTATTTTCCATACTGTGTCTAAATGACATCTCTGATTTACTGTCAAAGGTTTTTGTCAAAAGATTGAACATTCTCTTAGGTAAAAGTTTTGACATCCACATTGGGCAAAATAAACAGTTTGCCAGATGGCACGGTTTAGATTGTAACTAAAGGTTTTTACACCAATCAACAAGAAAAGGTCAGTCTGTTAGGCTATGTGTTGAATTCAGATGGATCATAAAATATCTACTGATAATTACTAATCAGAGTAGTAAGCACTGACAACAATTGCTTAGGAAACCTTTTACAATAATAATAACTTCAAATATTTTGAGTGTATAAGGGCTCACAATAACAATTGCTGTAAATCTGATAATCGTATCATCATGGTGGGTGGAAGATTGGCGGCGTTTCATTCCACTTGTTGACATTTTAATAATCTAGCTGTGTGGAATCATGGGGATTTTAGAATCTCTTTTCGCTCAGCACATTTTCTACTTTTTCCAGCTGTGTAAGCATTCAATGTTCAATAAGTCTCCTCTAAAAACAGACTTTTTTTAGGTCACTGGCTTGTCCTTTTCAAAATTCCATAAGGGCTCAAAATCTTGCAGATATTTTTGAACAACAGCAAGATGGTGTTCTGCTTTTACATTACGTTAAGCTTAAACATTTAAATTAAAGGAGAAAAAGAGTTGTACTTTTCTGTCCTGTCTTCAAAAACTGTTTTCTAGGCCTAAACTTGTGGTCTCTGTCATTACAGAGTTTACATTTGGTTTGATTATGGTTTAATGTTTCTGCATGTTTCAAAAATCAGAACATTACTTTGTACAAGTCAAAAATGTTTTCAAGTGCTTCTGTAAAATGCTGAGCAGTTTCCACTTCTCTGCCACTGTTCACACTTTCTTACACGTTTCCATCACTCTGATGGAGGGTCTCTGCATCCAAAGACCACACAAGCTCCAAATGGTTGGATCATAAGTTCCCTCGAAGGGTTTTAAACCAGAAAGCTAAAGAGACCAGTCTAAAAAAGGCCCTCTGAAGTTTAAAACAGGCTTATTATTTTGAAAGCATGTAATTTAGTTTCTTGAGGAAGCCGCTTCAAAGTTTTAGGTTAACATGACATCACTGTCATTAAACACAATGACATCAGCCCTTTGGAGATATTCTGCATCTTCTGCAAATATAAAAAATGTCCAATTCAGCAGAATCTGTAGTTTAGATCCAAACGATCTCCCGCAAAGTGACGATTGCACGCAGTCTGCTGCTACAACTGTGGAAATGCGAGTAACCGCACATGCACAGACACATGTGAAAACACACCCACACTGTCACACACACCCACACACGCACGTGCAGTGACATAATGGCTCGTGTTTCCTGTGATTAAATATACAGTCGTGCGCTTCACTGAATATAATGTAACTCGTCTGAATAGCATTTCTGTTCTCACTTTTATGTGAAACATACAGAATACAAAAGTGACCCTCCTGCAACCCCAAGACTAGGCGCTATCAGGCGCAACGACAAACATCTGCAGTTTCAGTGGTCTGTACCACATTTTGCAGTTCCAACCAAAGATCAAATCTGTACAAAATGCATATGCTAGTTCTCAAAAACAGATGGTATATCAAACCTACGGTCTCTGCTGTTAATCTTATGTGCCAAAAGTCAGCAGTGAGGTGTTTATCTAGCTTCTTTTTACGTCTCCTGCTGATTAGCTTGATCGAGGCCGGATTATTAAGGGACTGCCTCAGACTCTAGAGAGCCCAATATCATGTCACTCCAGATAAATGTAAAAATTATCCATTTGTCAAATAATTCAGTTAGGGATGTTAAATGACAACAATAAAAGATTTGATAGACTCTGTCATGTAGTGCCGGTAGTAACAAGAAAGTCTGATTCAAATTCATTCAAAATAGAAGGTATATTATGTATCAAGTACTAGCAGTGAGACATCTCACAAAATATAAACCTGAACACTATAACAGGGCTGCAAATCATTGCATTTTGTCTGTTTCTTTACATCTTTCTTGGTGTTGTAATATTCGTCTAAACAAGGGTAATTTACTGTTGTTTGTTAATTCAAATTTTTTTAGGAAGATTTCCAATGGTGTATATCACATTACATTACATTAGCCTTCTAAATACTGCTAAAGACTAATCATAAACAGTTTGTGTGTTTTGTGCACTTGCTGCCTTCTTGATGTCAAAAGGACAAAAGAGAGGAGGGATAAAATGACTAACTGCTCTTACCTTGATCTGCAGCAATGACCGTTAGACTCCTGTGGAGGGCCATGTGCTTAATGGCCCTTCTCTGCACCTTGTCACACCACGTCAGCTCCACGGACAACCAGCCAAATTCTGCAGCCCCGGAGCAGGGAGTCACCTTCAGCCACGTCTATAAGATTGACATCCCAGGGACTTCCAGTTGTACCCTCGAACGCCTGCCAATCCAAGATGAAACAGGTCTGACAGCATTAAAAGATGGGAACTGGGAACAGTTATAGGTAGATTTAAGGATATGTGTCCAAGTGTCCATATATATTTATATAGGTAACTTGTAGCTAAGTAAAGCTAACTCGAGATTTTTAACATCTTGTGAATACGTTTTATTGTATAGTATGTATATATTGTATATGGCTGAAAACAGAACTGTGTCACATGTTTAAGGCCTGCAGAGAGACACCACAAAACAAGGAGAGAATGACATCGTCTTCAAACACAACATCCATCTGCAAACACCCAAGTGTGATTGTGAGGAGTCGGATGGCTTCAAGTCCCTGTTGTACAGAGTCAATGGACTGGAGGAAGAAGTCAACTACCTAAAGACCCAGTGTTCCCAGGGATGCTGTGGAAGAGGAGGATCTGCAGGTAGGCTATCACGACCTGTACAGTCAGCCAGCAAAGATGAGATAGCCACTGCTGCTTTATAAGTCACAGGGAGGAATAAAGGTGGTTGCAAGGTCCAGAAGATACAGGATAACTGCCTATAGATCCTTTTTTGTCAGTAGGCAATTTTATCATGATGAAAATATGAATATCATACTTAATAAATTTAAGTAGCTACAGACTGTAACAGGTTTTCAACCATTTGTTTTTAAAGGTGTGGACACAAGCTGTAGTGGCCATGGTACTTATCAGCATGATTCCTGCAGCTGCCTCTGCAACCCAGGATGGGAAGGCCCAGACTGTTCTGAGTCCACCTGTCCCGATGAGTGCAATGACAACGGCCGATGTGTGGACGGGAAATGTGTTTGCCACCAGGGTTACAGTGGGGATGACTGTAGCCAGCTGACGTGTCCAGGTGACTGTAATGACAAGGGGCAGTGTGTGGATGGAAGATGTGTGTGCTTCCCACACTTCACTGGGGAAGACTGCAGCATCCCAAAGTGTCCCAACGACTGTGGGGACAACGGTCGATGTGTGGACGGACAGTGCATCTGTGATGAAGGCTTCTTTGGGGAGGACTGCTCATCAGGTAAGCCTTTAAAGTACAGAGCAGCAGTTCCAAAGATTATAATATTGTTTTAGTTTTTAACTTGTATGCGAGTGAGTATACGCATTACCTTTTAATCCATTGAAAGATCTATCTTGAGTCAGGTTTGTTGTTCCAATATGGTCACACGGCATTTTCTACTGCCATAAAACACCTCATTAGCAAATAAGCTGTCATAGCCATGATCATTTATGGGACGGGAATCCAGTGCACCAGCAAAGAGTCTAAAAAAACAGACTGAAACTTTCTTAGTTAAAATGGCAATAATTTGGAGGTGGAATTTGCCACCGTGGGGTATCCAAACAAAGCTTTATCCGACTCTAATGTCACTTTATTACACTTGCTTTTTGATAAGACCAGTATGGAACATATCAAGGTCAGATTAAAAGTTAATGATAAACTCAGTGCCACAACATGGGATCACAGTAAGAATTTAGAGCCTGTCGTAACCAGATATTCAGTCCGCCTTTTTGTTACTCTTTTAACACAAAAAGTCTGTTAAGGAAATTGCTGGCACCAAAGATCTAAATAACCTTTCTACAGTTGCTGCTGGACAGGATTGCAAACAGGATCTATTTTTTCTGTGTCTGTTTCTTATGCCTTGTAGTTCAGCAGTAAGCAGATATGAAAGCAACCCAGACGTTTTTTGCTGAAATTAATGGTAAAACTCTGAAGGAAAAACCAGGGAGATTTTGCAGATCCAACGGTTGGATGCTGTTTTGGTTCCTGTCCTCTTTCCTCAAAAGCTAAGCAGCTCTTTAGTTACAATTTACGTGTTTTACAGAACACTCACAATTATGAGGATCCATACCCTCTTGATCTTTTATTAGGACATAAGGAATATGGAAACTATAGAAGATGTCACTGGGCAAGTTGCAAGTCTGCCATAGAGACAAAAAAACATGTCTAATCCCTGTCTCTTCGAGTTTAAATCTAAAGGCACCCATTAGATGAATGTGCATGTCTTAGGATGGTGGGAGGATGCTGCAGACACAACTGGTGGAGGCACTCAATCTCTATATCTATCTATATGTGAAATAAATACTGTTCACAGTTTTTAACCCAACGGGTACGCAATGGGAAACTAGAAAAACTTTTTTAAAAAATCTGTGTTATGCACATTTTAAAAAACCCGTACTGTGAATGCTTCTCTTGAGTACATAATGCCTAAGAGAAAGCAGAACCAGTAAAGATGTCTTGAGAAAAAAAACTTGATCCTTTGATCCTTTGTGCAGACCAAGAGCCAGGATAATCTTAAATACTTTGTTTCCATCCCATAAGAACCATCCTGATGTGGTTGTGAAAAAGTATTTTACTTTTCTTTAAACTGTTATTGCAAGTATACTAATGCCTAGCCAGTTTAACATTGCAAATCTTTCTAGCAGTACCCAAAGTGATCACTGTCCAGTTATAACCACAGTGACCTGCTCCTGAGGAATTCAAGGCATCCCTCCCAACAATTACTTCAGACTGAGCAGCTGAAGGGGCCCTTTCAGCGGGCTGACCTTTGACCACAACCTGTGACATCAGGTCACATAATACCACAGGAATACAACAATATGCATCACTCTTTTGGGGCTCAATCCTGCTCTTTATGCTGCAGGAGAAGCATAACCTTTCCTACTCACCCAACCACCAATACTAAACTGCCCCAGGAGCAGAGTAAAAAATAGAATTTTAGAGCAATCGGAGGCCAGAGAAGCAGAAAAAATGAGCAGTGGCAGTCAGGCAGGAACAGCAAATTCACACTGAGAGTCAATTCTGCACAATTTCATAAACTTTGCTACAAGCAAACGGCCTAAACCTCTGCCTCTCTCAGATTAACAAATAAGTCCACATCAGCCAATACTGTCTGTGGCTTTCTTTCTCTGCACTTGACCAACAGTAAACAAAAGTAGAAACTCTTTGGAATGATTAAAGGCTGAAAAGCTATTTTCAGTTTAAAAGAACAGAAAAAGCTGATAAATGGCTCAGACTTCACAGTAGCAGGTCAGAAATGTCAAATCGTGTGTTTTCTCAAGATGGGATTTCCATGCAGTGGCACAGAATAGAGACAGATCTACAGCCTAGTGTGTAGGTGCTATTGAACCAGATCCAACATCAATAGCAGTACCATGTCAGAGGAAAAGTCAGGATGGAAAGGGAAAGTGGGAGGTAACAAAAAAAACGGCACTGTGTTGTTTTTAGGTGTTAGTAATAATAGTCGTAATAAGCGCCGGGAGAAATACGGCACAAAACCAAAATATTTAAGACATTCTTTGTTTTATGTGGCTATTTTCTATTTCAACACCTAGATGATGGATGCCAATCTGCCATCAAACTGATGATGGTAATCCTGCTCTTTAAGAATGGTTGAGAGAAGGTTTATGTGACACACTTATCTTTAAAGTACTTTCTTCCTTTTGCATTTAAGTTGTTTCTGTAAGATTTGGAAATATGCAAAGTATTTTTATATTTCAGATTTTTGTCTTTTACCATCAACTGGTGTCTTAATACTCAACTTTTCCAGTCTGAACATGTTAATTTATACACTCCATCTGGTCTGACATATCATTTAAGGGGCTAGATTGTTGACAGTTGTGTCTAGAGTAGCAACAGGGGGGCATTAACTGCTCCTGCATGGAAAAGGACCACTACACTTAAGGGAAAACATCAAGCTTCCGGACTTTGCCTTGTGGAACAGCATCTGAAACTGATGTGAATTCCTTCTCTGCCAGAGTTATGGCAGACTCCTTCAGCACCCGTTTAACAAATTTACCCCAGATATATGCCCTTGTTTCTGTGAAATGCCTTGCCTCTTCTACATCTACTGCTGTTTGCCGTTCACTCCCCTCCCTCATACTCTCAGGGAAGTCTATCTTATCAGAGGAAAGCCTCACTCCCCAGACCGGCTGACGTGCTGTTTTCTGTCTTTTGACTTATGGTTTTAGGTACATATACCATATAACCCACAATCTTTCCCCAGTTTCCATCACCCCCACTGAGGCACACTGGACACGTACCATTTAACCACGTACAGTAGTGTTTAAACACAAGTCCAGATATATCTGTATATGTATCTGTATTTTATATGAATACTTTCCTGGTGTTCTGAGAAAAATAAAATAAAGACCTCAGGTATCAAAATAATGGATTGCTTAGTCTGGTTCATAACTTTGTCTTTGCTTCAAGTTACATAGAAATTTAAAGGAATGTAATAAGAGTGGACTGGCCAGTTAAGGTGAACTACCAGGAGACTAACAGAGAAAGACATGAGGAACCGGTTTCCAGTCGAATAAAAACAAACATTAATCTCTATTATCGCTCTGCTTCTCTCACAGTTGTCAAACCTCAGGGTCTGCGGTTGGTCCAAAAGACGGAAGTATCCCTTCTGGTTGAGTGGGAGCATGTCAGAGGGGCAGAATACTATGTGTTGACATATCATCCCAAGTCTGATGAGGGTGCCATGGAGCAGGTATATTTTTACTCACTGTCAAATAGAGGATTTGAAGCCGTTTAATTTGTTACAGTTAAATACCTTTATTTTTTGCCTCCTTTGTCCTAGGTTCAGATTCCCAACTCCGACAATTCCTATCTCATCACAGGACTCATTCCAGGGGTTACCTATGTTGTCAACGTATATGCGGTCATCAAAGAGATCCAGAGTGATGCTGATGTTATTGAAGCCACTACAGGTGAGCAGCGAACATCAAGATTGAAATATATATGCTGATTCCAACTCAAAAAGCAAAAAAAAAACAAATAAAAAAGCAATCTTAATTTGCTTCAACATCATTAAGTGAGATATTTCTTATATCAAGTGAGTTGAAAATAAGGCAGGCATGCCTTTGAAGAATAATTTGGACTGGGGTTAGGACAGATGTTACTTCCAGGTGATTACATTTTGAGTGGATTTGCAAGTGCCTTTAGGGGTGAAAGCTAAGACTTCATGGGAAGGTAGGAAAAGAAAAAAAACGCCTTACTAATTTCGTTAAATGCTACACAAAATATTGAAGACTTTTCACATCAAAGCCAAATCCCATATATGACTTCTTGAGAAGAGCAATCACCTGTTTGTGTTCATGCCTTATCGGATAGTATCATCACTTGTGACTGTTGGGAAGAAAGCTCCTATCTAGTTTTTGTTTTAAATTAAGTCTTATGATTTAAATATTTTAAAATTCATTTATTTTTCATGACCTAATTACATTAGCCACCTTCAACTGCAACACCTCCACCTCCGCTCAATCCTTTGAAAAACAAAACTATCTTAAGAAGAATTATTTTTAATGCGATTTGGCTTATTCCACATTTCCATATGTCTTATTTCTGTTTACTCCAACAACTATGGAACCATGGCTTATTTCAGCTATGATAAACCCACCACAAAGGTATAAAGCTTTTAGACTAGAGGTAAAGAGCCTTTTCTTTTGACTATTGACAAGCCTTGTAACTCGTTTTACAATAATTACGGTAAAGAATTACTAACGTAATTATCAACTGGAATTCTGTCTTCCATTTTTTGAAAAACAACAGCAACATTATTAAAAAGAGGGGCAAGATGATAAGTCATCCTTCTGTATTTACTTTTATTTATTCATCGTAAGATGTTGTCTAAAAAAAAACTGAGAACATCCTGAAGTCTGTTACTACTAAGTGTTTCATTAAGAACTGCAATTACAAGGGAGTGGTTGTATGGATGTGTTTAACATTAACTGTCGTTCCCAGATGTGGTTGGAATCAGATGTGTAGAGGAAGAGATTAATTGACAGAACTGATGGAAGTAAGCTAGACAGATCAAGACAAAGTGGGAAACTACTTTGATTCTGATGTGTGGTTAGAATGCAAAACCTCACAGAGAATGGCATTCCCACATGGGCCTAAGTAAACACAACATCATCTGGCTTATGGCTGTGTGAAGAGTACACAGAATGAAGCACACATTTCTCTACTTACATAGTTTTCATTTTAACTTCAAAAGATGGACAACTTCAAAGGTTTTAACGGAATGTTTTTCTCCGTCTCTCTGAAAAACAAGAAAGATGACACAAAATATGCTAACCTTTTTCTTTTTTATTCAAATTATGTCTCTGTTTTTTGGGAAGTTTTTTGTGCCACAAATCCAGAGGGACATCCAGGCCAGGACTAACATTTAGAGTTTTCATTTGGTCTACATATGTAAAAACAATTACATTTACTCTTCCATGAAAATGTGCACTTACTGTCCAAAAACATTTTTACTTTCTAATACGTCTGTTCGTCGTGGCCTCTACATACAACTAATTGCGTTTACATCTAATGTTAGACAAACATGTTGTTATGGTTCAGTTAAATTAACCTCAGACGTTGCTGTATTTGAACTGTGTTCTTGGAGATGATCAGTGAAAGTATTGTGCTCACTTCTCCGAATATATTTACATTCTTAAATGTTCAATTTGAAGTTTAATTTTGATCAATGAACTGATCAATGAACTTCAGAATCAGGTCAGTCCTGCGTGCTACTTTCAATGTATTCAAACCTGCTCCTTTTTGTCATGCAAACCTCAAAACATTAAAATCCCCCCCCCAAAAAAAATAAATAAATTGTGACATAACTTGATTCAGTGACATAAAAAGGCTAGAATAACTTAACTGACTTAACTGAGGGAATTAATTAGCAATGTTATTTGAGAGAGATAAAAACATATGTTTACATAGACATCACAAAATCACGTGAACGACATAAGGTACATATGTTTTACTTAGAAAATATACCGGTATGTACCTTATGTCGTTCACGTGATTTTGTGATGTCTATGTAAACATATGTTTTTATCTCTCTCAAATAACATTGCTAATTATTCTCTTTCAGGATGTTCTCATGTGCCCTGATATGATTATTTTGGTAGTCAACTCTACCGTGCCCCTGAAGTGCAAGCTTACATTACAATGAAAGAACAAAGATGTTTCATGACATATTTCTTTGAGAGAGATGTTTCTCTGAAGTGGCCCTGCGATGGACTGGGTGAACCCTGCCTCTTGCCCATTGACCACTGGGATAGGCTCCAGTTCCCCCCGCAACCCCATCAGGGAATAAGTGGTTACGATAATGGATGGATGTTTCCCTGAAGTGTTTTTGGAAATATTGATTTGGGAATTATGTTTTTTCTAAGATAAGATAATCTTCATAGTAAATATTTTGATTTGTACCTCACGGTCACCTTAACTTTCCAGTGAAATGTATTTTCAGACTGAATATGTTCATTTAGTTCTTTGTGTGTCCTTCCCTAACATTATTCTGACAATATCATCTATGTCAGCAAAGAACAAAGATCAATTGTACCTGACGAGTCAATTGAATTTTGTAAGGGGTGAAAAAACAAAAACAACAACTCATTTGGTTTTGATATATCCTGCAAGGCAAAGGGGAAATTCCTGGTTTCCCCCTCCTCTGACATTTCACACTTCAAGGTGCTAAAGAATCATCGCCTTCCTTGAGGACAAGTGAAGGAGGAGCTGACCACATGCTTTTTATTACCCATGCTGTAACAGGTTTTCCAGCATCAGGTTCTTGTTTGTGCACACGATTTCAACAAACCCTTTGTCCTTCCCAGATGTCTCAACTATTGATGATATCCGAGTCCTTGGCCAGACAGAGATCTCTATCGAAGTGGACTGGAAAAACCCACAGGCCGAGGTGGATTATTTTAGGCTCACGCACACCGACCCATCCGGACAGGAGGAAGAGTCGAGTGTACAGAGGGGCCAAGAGGCACGCACCAAACACACTATTGTGGGTGAGTCTTTTGACAGAAGGAACACAAGACTGAAATAAAGGCTCTGGTTTTGGTGTCGTTAGATTAGTTTGGTCACCTTTCCTTTTAATTGCACCTAATGACAGTTTGCATTTTTTGGTCCCAAATTGAATGGAAAAGAAAACAGAAATAAATGTGTCTTCTCACAGGTTTGTACCCAGGAACAGAGTACCAGATCTCAGTTCAGGCCATCAAAGGAACCACTGAGGGAAATCCTTCGTTTGCCACTGGTGTCACAGGTCAGTGTGGACACATCAAAACCACATGGGACTGCACTATTACAAGTTATTAGAAACTGAACTTAGATGTCCTCATCGAATGTTTGACATTAGATGAACTGCAGATACACACACAACACAATGACAGATCAGTCACTGACACACAGTTAAGAAACAGAGATAACATAATATAATATAATTGAGCTTAGATTTAAACAGAGTACAGTATTAAAGATGGAACTTTGTTCATGCCAAGTCATCTATAAATCAGATGTGTGGTCAAAACATTAAAGGGAAAACAAAATAAAAGGTCAAACACTCCCGTTCCATCTTATACAGACGTCCTCACGAAGCCAATCAAAACAGGATAATGAATATAGCTTACTAAAGGTACTTTTATGGGTTAGTGACAGAATTTGAAATTTATGGCCCAATAATCTGGACCATCTTTAATGGTTGTGGTGAGCACGGTTGCTGAGAGGGAACATTATTCTGAATGTAATGACTGTAGAGGCTCCCTGATGGTGAGGTGAGAAATTTCATGATTTACAAAGTCCACCTGGTAAAGTTAGATATCAGATAGATATTGTGTGTTTTTGAGTGGTTTGAGAACGTGAGGGGGAATTAATTTTTCAGCTTTGGTTCAACAGCCGTTCTTGACATTCAGCACAATCCACAATAGCTCTCTGGTTACTCCATGTATTCTATTTTTTTCTCTCTCTCTCTTTCTCCTCATCCTCCATTTGTAAGACTCTCAGGCAGTAAATTAAATAATCGTTTGTCATTAGCCTTAGCAGGACTCACCTCTCTTCTCGATGTCCCTGCCTCTAATGATCTCTTTTATGTGTGTGTGCCACCTTCATGATTAGGAACTGAGTGTGCGTGTGGATGGAGTAATCTACAACAGACAGACAGAGGCTTGTCTCCACTCCAGTAGCTACCATACTTCACTCTAGGTGAAACACTAAAAGGCTCAGAGGTGATGGAGCAGGATAGCCAGGATGTTTGCCAGAGCAGTTTTACTGGCCTCATGATGGCTGGCATGAAGAGTGCAGTCACCTATTATCTCACTAAAAATTCTGTTTCCCTCAAGCCAGCTTGGTTTTATAATGAGGAGATAAAATCAACATGAAAGGAAGAAAAAAAAAAGAAAAAAAAAGGCAAACGGAAGCAAAATGTAATAAAGGAAAATATCACTGTTGGTGGTATGATTTGAATAAAACAAGGAGCTCCAACGTTGTTGCAGAGCAGGGACAATAAGTATACAGTGATGAAGAAAAGTGTTTGTTGTAAAATGAGGAACAGGAATAGGGCTGGTTAGGAATATAATGAGCCTCGTATAGCAGTTTCTGTGAAATTATCACAATAAATGACTGCATACAGTAAAAAGTCCTTTGTCGATAGTTTAAAGAGATCCTACCGAGTATGAAGAGATCCTATAGACTTCTTTTTGAGAAATGTTACAGTTTGGATGTTTACTTTATCTGGTAAAATTAGTTTCTAGCTCTCAAATTCCCTGATTGATGCAAATATTTCTTTAATTTCCAAAGCACTTCTAAACTCTGTATTAACAATATCAAGATTTTTTTCTCATTGAGCTAAACAAATTGTTACTGTTACATTTGTGGATTTATGTGGACCCATATATGTAAATTATATATACATATATATATATATATATATATATATATAAATTGAATATTTCAATAGATATATTTCACAAAACGGAGAAGATTCACTCTAAAGCAAGAGAGTAAACTTCATTCATTATTCTTGTTTTTGCAGGATAGCAGAAAATGCATATATATAATTTTTACTATACAGCTGGACTACCATATGTGCTTCCAGTACAACTCTATAAATCATCCACCTCTCTCAGCCTGTGGTACCCCGGAGTTATGCTTGTCTTGCAGATTTTCCACAGTGTGATTCGTAGGTGTACAGTACACTTTCATTGCCATCAGTTGCAGGGAAAAATGATTCAGTGACAGCAAACATTTAGGAAAATGGCAGATAAAATAAATTGTTATACTTACAGTGGTGTAGATGTCTGTTAGTTCCTAACCTGCCAAAATGTTACAAGGCATATAAACACAACATACCACAGCTGCTACTGCTGATTCAGATTAAAAAAGTCACCACAAAGCCCTATATAACCAAAAGCACATGGTCTGGCTTAAGACACAGTGGTTGAATTTTGAGCTTTTATGTTATCTGGACACAGTCTAGCTCCTCCTGTGATCCAGTGGGAGCTCCCCGTCTACTCCGGCTTGTCCATTCAGTGCTTTTTGAGCCAAGACTTCACACAAAATGTAAGAAAAATGTCAGGTACAAAGTGAGATATTTTGTAAGAGTAGAGACAACCAGCTTGTGCAGAGGTAAACAAATGATCCTTTAATGTTGTAAATGCTTAAATGTTCGTCTCAGTCTATAGTGTATATACATATGTGTGTTTGTGTTGTATCGAATAATAACTAGACAACAATAGATAGATTTCATCTCTATGTTTTAACCTGTATCTCTCTCATATCTCTCATATCTCTCTCTCAATATGACAGTAGATTACTATGATTTACATCATATGTTTCACAAAGATGTTGCCACATAGACACATCAGTTCTGTCATGAAGAGTTGTGAGCTGCTTACACTACAAAGAAATACTGGACAGACATAAGAAAATTGTAGTCACCACAGGACTCTACAAGAAAGCATTTGTCACAGCTGACATAATTTAGCCTCTTGAAGAATGACACCCTATCTGGCTCTTTTTTTTAAAAGTCATACTGTATGAGTTCCCATGTACATTGAGCACCAGAAGCTACAAAGCTGCAAATGATGAAAGACAGCCTGCTACCCTGAACCCTGTGGCCAGTGCCTCTGCTGAACATGCCACCCATAATGGATAAGCTGTTTTCCAAATGGTTGAAGCCACTGCTTATATTTTGTAACCTCAGATTCTGCACGGCTAGTGTGGTAAAATGTCTGTAGTAACTGAATCCATCATACATTGTAACTTCCGAATATTCACAGAAATATCGAGCATATCAAATGGCTATGGCTACAATGACACTACCAGACAAATGTTTGGACACATCCACTACATAGGAAAGTGTGAGTTTCCCAGATTTTGTCTTGTACTGTATACTGAGTGTAAAAGAAAATTTATATTTGTACATAGTAGGTGATAAAAGATGGAGGAAAAACACCGCAAAAAACAACGATTTTGAAGGAGAGCAGTCATTGAGCAAAGTTTTGGATGTTTTGCACTCTTGTTGCACTTGTTTTACTTAATATCTTGTTAAAATTTGGAAGAGCAGTCAGTTCTTTAGCTAATTGTTTCCACCATGAATTTGTAAGTCATCCATGACAGTCTTAAATTCACATATTTTAAAGGCCAGATTTGTACATAAAGTAGGCCAAAGCAATAGTTCCACCCTATTAAAATTAAAGGCCTTATTTATTTGTTTGCGCTCAGTGAATTTTTCCACCCTGCTGCTCTATTTCTCCCACTTTATGACAAAGTGACTGTTGTTCCCCTCCATGACAGTTGGAGCTGCAATTTGCGAAATGAATATTTATAAATATTTCTACTATTCAAGGAAACTTTAGCAATTATAAACAGGAATGTCTGCTTTTTGTGGCACACTTACTTTTTTCCCACATGGATTTTATGTGAATGTTAAGGAAATATTCAAAGCTCTCTTTGTATTTGTTACTTAATATATTCAAACTTATTCATGGATACTTTTTTAGAGACTAAGAAAGAGGAAGATTATAAATTCTTTCTGCAGTTTTGTTCACGACAGACGGTCATGCGGTGTAATCACAAGGAAGGAAAAGTGACAGCGGGATAGAAGATGCAAAAAGGGGATATGGAGTTAGACAGTTGCATAGTTCCTTTCTTCTTGTGGATGAATCATCAATCAGTTTTTGCGATGCAGACTGCACACTAACACAAGACTGACCTTGACTTGAGTCGCTGCCACAGAGGAATAATCCTAAATGATGATTGCTTTTACATTTCCCTTCACTTCCTTTGTGTCTCTCTTAATACGCGTCTGTGACTCTCCCTTTTTATTTTCCATCATCCGCTCTTTGTTACTCTCCTCTCTCATTTTCATTGATATTTTTTCTGGAGGTCGTAACACCTATCCACACTCAGCTCAACCAAATGCTCCGTCTGCATCTTCTTTGCGTCGCCTTCCTTGAGCCAACTAAGTGTAGAAACAGAGGCTCACTGTTCTGTTCTGCGTCTGGGTCGTTCTCGGTCTACAGTTCATTCTGTGGAGTTCAGTGAATAGGACATGACCAAGGGTTCACTCGTCTGCCAATGATGTTCTTTTGGAAAGCTTCACTGAGTTTTTCACATGAGCCAGAGAACAAATCCTGCGTGGGCTCATCTATCATCTTTAGTGTCCACCAACAAACGTCTCAGTGACGAGTTTGTATATTTCCTGAACATGAGGAAAAAATAAAAGACATTAACGAAGTTCAACAAAGTAATTCATTGTTCTATCTTCACAAGTATTGCTGTAGACAATTTATACAGATTGGTCTTGAAAAAGGGAATATTGTATCTTTTTGGAAGTGCTTATTAACTGGTCAAACCTCATAACAAGCGCTCTTTGCCCTCACGTTTCCCACAAAAGAGTTGCAGGGATCTGAACTTTTGTTAAACTTTGAAACTATTTAAATTTTACTCTGACTCCAACTACTTGTATGTAGGTAAACATCTGGACAATTTCCACATCTCCTCTAAGTTCTATGTTTTTTTAAACAAGATCGGCCATAGTCCTCTATTAAAAACAGACAAGACAGATAACACTTGAATGACACGTATTGATTTCAAATATCATAAATGATTGATTCTCTTTAGTTGCTGTCACATATGATCTATGACTGTGCCTGTGAATATGCCCATTCAGGACAAGTTTGTGCTGTAGTAACTTTATATCAACCTTCATGATTATGTACCTAAATCTTAACTGACATGCTGCTTCTATGCTTTTAAGGGCTTTAATTTATCTTTCTTCTTTGTATTTGTACTTTTTCAGATATTGATGCTCCAACAAACCTTGTCACCACTGAAGTAACTGAAGACACTGCAACAGTCTCCTGGGATCGAGTTCAGGCTGAGATAGACGGCTACATGCTGAGCTACACCTCTGCTGCAGGCTCTAGTTCAGATATCCCCGTAGGGCGTGACAGCACCTCGTACAGGCTGGTTGGCTTGAGGCCTGGTGTGCTCCATACTGTCTACATTTGGGCCTTCAAAGGAGACAGAGTCAGCACAAAGACTTCAACAGAGGCTGAAACAGGTAAACCATGAATGGTAACTTAGGTTCAGTTGACAAGAAATTGGGATTGTATGTATTTGTTTGATTTATCTTAAAAGCAGATGCTCATATTTGGGTAACGTATGGTCAGCTTTAAGTTAACTGGAAAGCTAAATCTAAAGGATGGCAAAATAGATTATTTTCTATTCTTCTTTCTTTTAACAACTGCACAAGGACCCGTGGTTCTCAAAGACGTTTTAAAATCAGAACATTTCTCATCTTCTTTGTAGTTTTAACTTTACAGCCCTCACAGACAGATGCTCAAATCTTTTCATCTTGAGCTTGACTGTGCAAGTTGTTCTTACCTCAAATGTCCCTAATGTGAAAAGCACCAAACATTTGTCTCTGATCCTTTGTGTGTTGGATAATTTTCTTGACTTTTCGCAGCAGCACCAAGTTAAAAACTATTAGTGTTGACATTTTATATAAAGCAAATTGACCCCTTTAAACTGCTAAAGGGGGGAATTAAACCCTTTCTGAAAAAGACTTCTTAACATAATTAGGATAGATTCCTCTTTGAAACACATCCACTATAGCCTGAGGTTGAATGTCTGTAAGAAATTTGAGAAAAAAACTATTGAGCTCCTTCTACAAAGCCTGCTGTTTTACCTCTCAGGTTTCTCGTCTTATCGGGTCTTTTGAACTGGTTGTTATGGGAGGCAACATATGCTGTTGTTTCTTAGGCTTTATGCTTATGAGGTATAGGGAATGGAACATCTTCCAGAAATATAGGATTTATCCAGATGCCTCTAAAAATCTAGTTAAGTATGACAATGAGAAAGACAAAACAACAAAGAAAATGGCTTTTCTCAAATTTAAAGTACAAAATTAAAAGGCATCATTACTACATGTGTATAGTTGCAAAAATGTTATGCATATTAGATGTGATTTTATTCATTTATAGGAATGATATGTCATTGTATAATAGTTTAATTAATCATATTCACAGTAGCACTTTGTATGTCTGTTTAAGAGTTTACAAACAGATTCAGATTATTTTCTTGTCCTGATGGGGGTTGCAGACATGATAATTCCAGTAACCTTGCTCATACATCAAGCGGCAGGATGCAAATTAAAATTGTGCTAGGATTTTATGTGCAACTCCTTAAAAACAAACTTTTCAAACATATGCGACTGAGCGTGGGGAATTAATTCAGATAATTAAATCTTCTCTAAAGAATAAATTGGCAAGGGCAAAGTAATCGTGTACAGTTTAACAAAACCAGAATAATGAACTAATATCCACGTGTCTATCCATAATGGGTTTTCCAGAGCTGATGATAAAGGCAAACTGCAATGAAATATGGAAGCAGAAAAATCATTGCAAGAAAATCTACAGAAAAAAGTTGACAACTGAATCATAGGATACTTATTTGAATAAAGCAGCTTTTCTGCTTTATGAATTGATTATCATTATCATTGTGCAATTGTTGATGATGTGGGATGATAAACAGAATAACTCATACGCCAGATTATCAAGGCTGATTTTGGTCTTCAATCCAGAACAACTAGAGAAAGATTTAGTATTTAGTGGACACATTAGCTACAGCTCTATTTCATTCAAGTCACAACTTCATTCATCCCACTGGGAAAATATAGATGGGTTATGAAAAAATTGATGGGTTATGAATTTGCTTTCACTATAGCATGTTTTTTTTTAAATAAACAGAACTTTATCTAAAGCACTGATACAGTAATACCAACGGTTCAGAAGTGCTCTTGCGGGGACAGAATTTGATTGTAAACTCTCAGAGTCTGAACCCATTCCGACCAAATGCATTGTTTAAAGTGATCAACAATGTTATGGAAATGATTATGTGTCTCAAAAGTAATTATTATAATTCTTCAGGTCAGGTCTGAGTGAGATCCTCTCTACTTTGCATGTTTTTTGTTTAACATAGATATAGTGTAGTTGTAGTGCTGCTATGTAATGATTATATCAGGCTGACATGATGTCAAACTTGGAATTAAAGATATTTGAAATTTTATTTATTTAGTTTTACTCTAAAATGAAGAGTTTTAAATTAATATGCATTCAACAGTTACAACAGAGCATAATTGCAAAATGAAAAATAAATGAACAGCTGTTTTTATCAAAAGGCCAAAGACTTGGTTGACCCAAGTTTGACATCTTTTCAGCGTTTCTAACCTTAAGTGCACTGGATGCAGGTGCACCTTCACACTGCTAATTTTCAGCCAACATGTAGTGTTGTTGTGTTTGCATTTGATGTAGTGATGTTGTGTGTACTAACTTCAACTCCCCACACAGAGCTGGATGCTCCTACTAACCTCTTCGCTCAAGATGAGACAGAGTCCAGCTTCAGGGTGTTCTGGGATCAAGCCCAGGCAGAAATTGATGGCTACATACTGACCTATACTTCTTCTGAGGGCTCATGGGAGGAAATCCAAGTTGGGCCTGACAGGACATCATATTTGCTGACTGGCCTGAGACCAGGTGTCCCGTACACTGTCTATATCTGGGCCATCAAGGGAAGCAAAGCAAGCAAGAAGATCTCATCAGAAGCTGAGACAGGTCTCAGATCTATAACACTATATTTGCAACCAAAGCATTAATTCATCTTGGCTCAAGTCAAATCTGAAATATTTTAAAGAAAGCTCTTTTCCTATTTTTGTCATGATACAACCCCCTTATATAGAAAAACTTCCAAATAAGGGGGGGCTTTATCAAGTTTTCATTTTCCACGGTACTGTTCAGTGTTGTTTGCATCATTGCAGCTTCTCGACTGATATCCTAACGTCCTTCTTTAGAACTGGATGCTCCTGTTAACTTCGTTGCCCAAGATGAAACAGAGTCCAGCTTCAGCGTGTCATGGGATCGAGTCCAGGCAGAAATTGATGGCTATAAGCTAATCTACAACTTTCCTGATGGCTCTAGTGAGGAAATATCTGTTGGACCCGATGGCAGATCTTATATGATGACCGGTTTGAGGCCTTCAGTTCTCTACACTGTCACCATCAAAGCCTTCAAGGGAAACAAAGTCAGCAGGACGGTCGGAACACAAGCTGAGACAGGTGTCAAAAACCAGTTTTTGTTTAAAGCAAATTATCCATTGAGGAGTTTCATTCTTAATCTTCAACAAGTTTCAAATAACATATCATTACAATTGCTTCAACATGAACACGAGACAGCACCCTTGTAAAGGCTAGGGGCAAAAAAGTCTCAATTGACTGTGAAGTTAGAATCGAGTAATAAAAAAATTTCTGGGTAATTTCCAAATTTAATCAAACCAGCTCAGACAGCTTCTTTCCCGCTGATTCAGCTCTCTTTGAGAGATATCTCAGAGATGTGGTCCTCATGTGCTGGAACAAAACTGTGCCGTTCTCGGTTGGATGTACTCGCCGTGAAGGTGGCACTTATGGCCAATTCTTCCCAGTCACTAAATTGCTGGCTGCCACTTGTTATGTCTAAAGATCATTTATGCCATGTGTGCATTAAGATCAATGATATATCTTTCGGCTAGAATGAGGTCACCAAAATATCTTGGAAGCTGTGCACATTTGAGATATCCATCAAAGTCTATTAATAGGGACTCAGCTAAGTTAGAGTTTTACGGTTATCTCTTCCTTAGCACCATCTGAGGGTAGAGTTTGCTGCAATTTATTCCTCCACATATCACTAGAGTGTTAAATCAGCATTTACTAGGATCCTTGAGGCAGCAACCGCCTGATCTAGATATTATGTGACACCTTTTGACAGAAGAGGACAATAGAAGAATCCAGAGGACGCCTGCTTTAGTTTAAAGTTCTTTTTAGTGGTCATGCACACCAGCATCGCTTGTGCTACAACACAAGCATTTTTCATCCTCTAACTATAGCAATTCCCACCTATGAAATCTGGCATGAAAGATGAAGGAAATACCCATAACATTTAGCAGAGTCACATAAATGAGTTTTGAACAATATAGCAATCCTTAGGCATTCAGATGAAACATCAGAATCCCTTTTGGGAGTGTGTCTGCTCTGTGAACTCAATGTTTGCCTCCTGTCCCCTGTCTCTAAGCCATTTTTGGCTTAGGAATGGCAAACAAAGAGCCTGATTATGTTGGTTCAAAATCTTTCTGAATCTCATTTACATTGCCTACATTTGCTCTGAGCCTTTAACTGTTTTGCTGTATGTACACATCTTGTAGTTGCATGAGCAGTGTGTTGACCTGCTTTTACTAACATCTTCCTCTAGAACTGGATGCTCCTGCTAACCTCTTAGCCCGAGATGAAACAGAGTCCAGCTTCTCTGTGTCATGGGATCCAGTCCAGGCCGAAATTGATGGCTACATCCTTACCTATAGTTCCTCTGAGGGCTCTAGTGAGGAAATCCACATTGGCTCCAGCGTAACCTCTTACTTGCTGAAAAACCTGAGGCCTGGAATTCTCTACACTGTCTACATTTGGGCCATCAAGGGGGACAAATCAACCCGCAAGATTTCAACAGAAGCTGAAACAGGTTAATACAATACGTGGGACTGTACTATTGGTAATGCAGAACCTCATAATTGCTCAAATCACCTAAAATCGGTGGATGAAAACGACATTCTATTTTCAGAACTAGTTCTGTAAGGCGGTTTTCTATGCCGATATTGTGGGTTAACTTTCCTGTTTCACGAAACTCAATTCTTCTCTTTGATCTCTCATTTTTAACAGACACACGTGAAACACACAAGCTCGAAAAGATTATCCCTGTATTTCTGTTAATAAAAACAGATCTCAGTTTAAGAACACTGCTAAAAAAAATACCAGACCATCAGGGGCACCACATGTGTTCTTAAATTTGAAGGGACATGTCAGTTTCTTATTACTTTGGTGTTTAGAGGCAGGAACAGGGCACATTTCATCAGTACCTCATGATTAGATGCCATTCTCCATCACTTGTTGGTACGTCTGTTGTGCATAGACTGGCATTCACAAGGATCAGGGGTTAAGTGGACAAGGAAATCTGCCTTGGTAATTTATTCTCACGTATATTTTGCACAAGGCATATGTCAGGGAGGTGTCCTTGCAATATGAAGCAACCTGCTAACTTTAAGTGCTCAATGTATACTCCAGAGCAATCAGTATCATCAATAACATCAATTCAGTGGTTGTGGTAGAATTAATTTAGTCTGCACTGATGATAACTGCTCGCTAGAGGGCAATTTATAAATCTACATGCCATATAAACTTGATTTATTAAACTACAAAATTCCTAAAAAGTCAACAAAGCCCCTGTTCTACCAGGAATGCTTCCCACTGGCGAGAAAAGGTCACCAGCTATGTCCCATAACTCAGCGAGAAGTACAAAACTGCAGCACATGCGAGTGGGCTGTAACAGGGGTACCTTTGTGTTAGCCTGATGATTTGTAAAATCTCCTGGGAGCTCCAAGCGAGACCTGGATCTTTTTCAATTAGGCTGCAAATGCCCGCGTTTTACATTATAACGTTTTCTCATCGTCAGTCATCAGAAACCATTCGTGGTTTTGGACCATTGTGTCACTGGGTTCAGGAATGGAAGGTTAAATTAAATTAATCTTAGTTACATAAGATAATTTTTTTAATGTAAATTAGATTTGTGAAATTATTTGATCAGTTAACAAGCACAAGTGATATGTCAAGTGAAACATTTTCAAACCAGCAATACTGTTCTAAGAAACATTTGGGAATACCAGTAGTGCAACATTTGTCATCCCACTATTTGGCCCCATTATAAAAGATATGTTGGTTAAATTGGTTTAGGATGAATTGGACCTTATGTACTAGAGGCATGACATTTTTCAATACATAGACATGGAAGGTCAATGCTCTCACAGCCCTTATTTGTATCTCCACCCCAGACGAAAGACTCCCGCATCTGTTTCTGGTTAAACTTTCAAAGCATTGCAATAAGACAGAGGGGGAAAGTCAGCTTAACTGTAGACTGTAACTCAGCAGGCAGATGGCCGTAGTCTTTGGTGGTACACCTCAACTGGAGAAAAGGTGAAATGCTAACTGAAGAAAAGTGATGGATATCAGAGTTTAAGAGCAGAGGACTAAAACATAAATAAAATGATAAATGACAGAAATCATCAAAAGCGGAAGTTTTTCTTTGGGGTTTTCATTATTTTGTCTTCCAGTAAACTGTGAGTCCACTCAAAAAAGCTTTACAAAAAATATTATTTTTAATACATTATAAGAAATGTTGATAAATCAATGAGTTGCTGCATTAATTTCTGCAGATATTGATTCCCCGAGGGAGCTGAAGGCTTCAGATGTGTCGACTGATTCTGCCACTTTGACTTGGGTTCCTCCTCTGGCAGACATTGAGGGTTACATCCTCACATACAGAGATGAAGGCGGCGAAATGGAGGTACGAGGTTCTTTGCATATTTCCCCCTCCTAAACAAATGCACCTGCATGTAGAGATGATAAATAGCACTATAAAGACAAACCTCAAACAATGTTTTTTGAATTCCATCAACATGCTGAAATATAAGTTTGCCTCACCAAAATTCATTGCAGTTCAAAATCACACTGCATTTACTCTTTATTCCACTGGCTGAAGCACAAAGAGTTTGGACTCATTTGGAAAATGTAGTCAATCCTCTCCCCCTGTGTAGTTTTAAAATAGAGCCTGTGGAAATATTCTGTGAAACACTGACCTCTTGTGGGCACAAATCAAAGTAATTTGGAATTTTGGAGCCTCACGTGGATAAACTTCAAAGGGATCGGAACAAAATTATTGTTGTGTTTTTAAACACACCTGAAGACTTCCTTATAATGACTGGTTCTTCATATAGATGGTGAAAATACTGAACAATGAGTTTTTGTTGTCTTATGCGGTGATCAGACTGTTGAAATGCAACTTGGAGCCAGCGCTAACAGCTATGCTGCAACCAATCTGGAAATGGGGAAGAGCTATATTGTGACCATTATCGCCTACAGAGGTTACAAGAGGAGCAAGGTGGTTGATACCAGTTTTAAAACAGGTAAAGAACAAACAATTTCACAAAACTTCACCAAAATACTTCACAAAACTTCATCAAAATCTATCTATCTATCTATCTATCTATCTATCTATCTATCTATCTA